AAAAAAATCTTGCTTTTATCACCCACTAGTGTTGAATGTTTGTTAAATTTGGTGTTTTAAATCAGAATTGGATCCCCTTATAAGAGAATCATCCATCCATCCATCCATCCATCCATCCGTCCATTGTCTTTACTCGCTTCTTCCTTTACAGGTCGTAGGATAAGAGAATCTGTTCCATTTAATTAGTTGGTTTGTGATACATATTTGTTTAAGTATGTTTTTAACAAAGTGACCTTTTTCTGTAAATATCTAAAACAGGTGGTGCTGCGGATGCAGAGCTGGCTGAAGCCATCATGTCTCGGCGTTTCCACCCCTCAGTGATCGGACCAGAGACGTGGGAGGGATACGTGTTTTCTGACCTGGAGATCCGAATCAAAGAATCCACGGATCTGTACGGGGCAGTACTCTGGCCCTCGGTTTATCCTTTTTCCTACCCTCCTCAGCTTATGTGTGTCCTTTAAATTTTGACCCCTGCCACTGAACAATAAACTTGTTTTCCCGACAGGCAATGGTGCTGTGTCACTTCTTAGAAACGAACCAGGACAAATTCAACCTGGCGGAGAAAAATGTGATCGAGCTGGGAGCTGGAACCGGCCTCGTCACCATCGTAGGCAGCATTTTAGGTTCTGAAAAATAATCAAAACAATCCACTAATTTGCTTATATATGAACTTATTTTCTTTTAGCTTAGTTTAGTTTTAATTCCTTAACTTCATTGTCTCTCCAGGTGCTAAAGTAACGTCTACAGACCTACCGGATGTGTTGGGGAACCTCCAGTACAATGTAACACGCAACACCAAGAGCAGATGCAAATACACCCCTCTGGTACTTTTTGTTTGTTTTACACAATCATAAAAGTACAATACATTTTTGTTTTCTTTTGTAAATCATCCCCACCGATGTTTGTCGGCAGGTCACTGAGCTGATCTGGGGTCAGGAGGTGTCTCAGCGTTTCCCTCGTGCCACACATCGTTTTGACTACATCCTGGCAGCCGACGTGGTTTACGCCCACTCTTACCTGAACGAGCTGATGGATACCTTCGACTACCTGTGCCAGGACCACACTCAGATACTGTGGGCCATGCGTTTCCGACTGGACCCGGAGAACAGTTTTGTGGACCGCTTCCAGCAGCGTTTTCACCTGGAGGAGCTGTACGACCTGCCCAGTCTGAGTATCAAACTGTACCGAGCCTGGAGGAGGGACCAGTGGACCGGGGACCAAAGAGAGGCTGCTGCCTGAACCGCTGAACTTTCACAGAACTCTGAATATTAAAGCATTGGTCATTTTCTATATGGATGTTTTCCACAGCTCCCAGTCAGAGCTTGGCTGGAGCTGTAAAAAATCTGTTGGACTGGCAGTACTCGTAGCTGGGCACGGATGTTAATGTTCAAAATGCAATAAAATAATAACACATGAAAAAAAGGTTATGTCTGCGAGGAAGAAAATGTGAACAAAACAGCTAAATATTTTGTCGAAACAAAAAAAAAACTCAAGTTAATGGTCAATGAGTAGAGGTGTATGGCGTGCGTTTGTAAATTTACAGTAAAAAATTAACAGCAATCTTTTTGTTTATTTAGCCTTTCATAAGGAAAAAATAGCTTCTTTTTTTTTCCAAAGTCATATTTGCACCATTTTATGCATACATTTATAAATGGCATTCTTCCAAACTAAATATTTAATTTACAAACTAAATACTGAAGTTGCAAGTTAAACATTTAGTTTGTAAACTAAATATTTAGTTCCACACTAAATATTCAGTTTACAAACATGTTTATGTCCAAGCTGAATGTTTAATTTATAAACCAAATATTTAACTTGCAAGTTAAATACTTATTTAGCAAATTAAATATTTGTTTTGAAAATTAAATGTTTAATTTGGAAAATAAATATTTAGGTCCAAGCTAAATATTTAGTTAGCAAATTAAACATTTATTTTGGAAATTGAATGTTTAGCTTAGAAAATAAATATTTAGGTTTTAGCTAAATATTTAGTTAATAAATTAAATATTTAGATTAGGAATTAAATGTTTAGTTTGTAAATTAAATATTTAGCTTGGAAAATAAATATTTAGTTTGAAAATTAAATGTTTAGTTTTGAAAATAAACATTTAGCTTGGAAATTTAATATTTAATGTACACTTAAATATTTAGTTCACTAACTAAATAGCCTTTCATAAATATTTAGTTCACTAACTAAATATTTAACTTGCTAGTTAAATATTTAGTTTGTAAATTAAACATTTAGCTTGGATATAAACATTTAGTTTGTAAACTAACTACTTACCGTGGTGCTAAATATTTAGCTTGCTAACTTGCAAGTGAAGTATTTAGTTTGTAAATTAAATATTTAGTTTGGAACTATGACATTTATAAATGTGTGAATGAAATAGTGAAATTATGACTTTGGGGGAAAAAAAACAAAAAAACTTTACAAACAGCACCCCATAGAGGAGACTCTCTGGCAGCCTGGAAACAAACAAACAAACAAACAAACAAAAAATCCCACAAATTATAGGATTGGCTGCTGCAAAGAGGTGAATCTGTTCTGATATAATCTTCAGATGTTGGACGATGTAAGGTCATTTGGTTGTTCATCATTTATACTCTAGACCCTCAAACTTTTCAGCTTCAGACCCACAACACAGCAGCAGAGATTATCACTAATTAAAGTGTAAAAAAAAATCCTAACAAGTCAATTAAACTACAATATATTGACAGTACAAACAGTCTCAACAACTGGTGTAAGGTTTCTATTAATTTACGACTGCTGCGTTTTTTGGTTTTTTTAAGTGTAGTTTACAGTCGTCTTTATTTTAATTTGATTGATCATCTCAAGACCCGTTACTCACTTAGGATGAACTGGTACCAAGTACTATTATGAACCACCTTATGCTCAAACATGGTGTTCGTTACGGACAGCCCATGTCTAGCACAGCGAACACCATTCGAGTTCAGATCAGGGAGGCTGTTCCTCCCAATCACCCCCTTCCAGATAACTCCATCATTGCTCACATGGGCACTGAAGTCACCCAGTGGAACAAGGCAATCGCCAGATGGCACCCAGATGAGATTTAAGGAAATTTATATAGCCATTTTGGACAAATCTTGAAAATAACATTGCACTGGATCTCATGAGATCTTGTGTGATCAGACGGAGCTCTGAATATGTGATGTGAATGACTCTCAGCTACTCCCACCCCAGATCTTAACTCAGTCTTTGTAAAGTCTACAGAGCTAAACACATTTTTGTGTTTGCTAAATTTGCTTGGCTGTGTCGATTGTCTTGAATCTGGATGACTCAGAAAGTAAATAAGTTGTAGACAAACATTTGATCATTAGATTCCAAAAGTTTTGTTGAAACCTGTTTCGTAGTTCATGAGATATTTTGCTAACAAAGGAAAAAAAACAGTATTGCCTGCCATTAGCCTTCTTGCTTTGAATGATATGATTGATTAATGCTCAGGGCGGCACCGTGGAGCAGTTAGTAGTGCTGCTGCCTCTCAGCGAGAAGGTCGCCGAATCAAATCCCGGTTGTAAAGTTTTTAGTTTTGTAGATTTTTAATCGCCACTTTAAGTTTATTAAAAGAAACTTTTTGTTTCA